AATGTTACATATTTAATATTAATATTCATGTTATTAATATTAAGGCATTTTCAAAATACTATTATACAAAAAGTGTATATATATATATATATATATATATATAACAATTATGTACAAAGCCTAATTTATACTTAATACACTTATTTTAAACATATTTTCTTTTATATTATTATTATTATTATGTATGTACAGATACAAATTTATACTGTGTTTATTGTTAAAAATAAAGTATTGTATGTGTTTTTTTTTCTGTATGTGAAACTAAAAAATGTATATTAAAATAATATTATTAAAAATATTAATGTTATTAAGACATGTTTTCAACATACTATTATACTTTTTTAAATTATTAATTAAAAATACTACATTAATATATAACATATTATGAATTACTTATGTACGATTATGTAATTATGTAGTATTATGTAGTTATGTAAGACCAATTCATAACTATAATAACTATTAATATGTTTATCAGATATATTTTTAAAACACTATTACACAAAATATTGTTTCATTATTATTAATCATTAAATATACTACAAAGTCCAGTCTATACAGTTATTTCTATGGAAGAGAAAGAAAAAAAATCTAATATTAAAAATTTTCAATGACTTTACATTATTCTAAACTGTGAAAATAGTCATCATATAACAGAAGCTGAGTAGATGTGTCCAGAACTTTCACTGCAGTATACAGTGTGTTGGTGATTGCAGATGTTTTCCAGACTTACTTCCTCCTGTTGCTGAGCGTGTCCTCTGTGTTTCTGATCACTCCTTTCAAAGGAATAGAGTCTTGGCCGGCGCTGCCGTGCTGAACGCTGCTCACCTGCTCCGGCTGTCTGCTGGGGTAACCGCACACCCTGTGCACCTGCACAAATTACACATGCACCAACACCATTACCAACATATCCACACGCATATCCATTATTACAATTATTACGATATTTAATAGTGGCTAAAGTTTAGGGCTGGTAAAACTTGCACTTTTTGCAGGTCAAAAGGGGTCGATGTGCCTGTAGTAGCACGATCAGCCACTAGATGATGCTGTTTTTTAAGTAATGCGATACCAGCATTTGCAAGACTGTAAAGGTAAGAGAAAGAGAGAGCAAATCTTTCTTCACAAAGAAAGGAAAAGAGGTGGTGAAAAAGAAGAAATGTAACTGAGTAAATGGGTCAATAATATCCAGTAAACAGTCCATGAGTCAGTCAGTAGTCTCAGCATCAGAAGGCTCATCCATGGATTGTTTGGAGACAAAAATGGCAGATCTGCACCATCTGAAGCCAAGTTGTTGGAAACTACCAAGTCCAATCTGAATTTTCTTCTATTTTCATATATACTATATATCTATATACTTCATGTGATTAATTAATGATAATTTGTAAAATAGTATTTTGAAAAAAATATATCTTAAGATTAATAAATTCATGTTATTTTACTCTGTGTGTGTGTGTGTGTATACAGTGGCTAAAGTGGCTAATGTGTGTATGTATATATGTTATAATTAATTAAAATTAATTTGTAATTGATATTAATTTTTTTTAAATAATACAAATTACTATTATCACATTAATATCAATATTAAATATAATATTAATTAAAAATATTATTAACAGATGTTTTCAAAATATTACATAAACTTGTTAATTTAGTAAAATATATATATATAAAATACTACTAATTATATATGTAAAAGACCAATTTATAATGCATCTGATTAAAAAATAAATAAATAAAGTATTTCAATTCTAAAGTACTTTAGGTATAAAAATAGGTGTTACCACATGGTTGTGTTTTCAAGTAATTTTTTTTGTTTAATTTCCAACTAAAATAAGCACATCATGATACGCACACTGATATTTTGGTCATACCATCCAACACAATGTGAGACTACTCAGACACTAATAATAATGTACACACTCATTCATTTTACAAAGATCTATTCCTCCAGAACAACTGGGATTGTCTGGAATTAAACCGGTTTTTATTGGTCTAATA